TTGCTGATGAGGATGAGTATGATGACGATGACGCTGATCATGATGCTGATCATGACGGTGATGGTGATGTTGACAATGATGGCGATGCTGATGGTGATGGTGATCAGGTTGCTGATTATGATGTCCATGGTTATGATGATGAAGCTGCTGCTGGCCAGGTTGACGAAGACGGGGGGAAGAAGATGAGGAGGAAGAGGTGGACGATAACGATGAGGAGGAGGGGGGGGGGCGATTACTAGGAGGATGAGGAGGCGGCGGTGGATCGGAGGGGGGGGGGGGGGCGATGTACCAAGCACCCCCCTCCACGCTGCTCCCCTCCACGCTGCCCCCCCTCGCCCAGCCAATTTTGGCTTAGGCCGTTTCAGGCCGCATGTCGCGCCATCGCGGCCGCGACCCGTGCCCTCGCCGCACGCAATGCGGCGGGCCCGCGCCATCTCCCGTGCCGTCCCCCTCGCCCAAGCCCTCGCCGAGGGACTTGGGCGTCGTGCGCCGCCCTGTCCCCCCGCTGGGCGACCGCGGCCAGTTGACACAGGAGCTGCTCGCATATGTCGAGCGGGTCGGGGCGAAGAACTCGTTCAACGTAGGTTGGTACCATCACTTGACGAAAGACAAGGCCGCCCACGCGCCCAGCATGACGAAGGACCCTGACATGGTGGTCCGACGGGGAATTTCGGTTCGCTTTCGAACACCACCTGCGATCTCATGATTGGTGATGGCGGTGGCGGTGGGACGGATGGGAAGAAGGGGGGGGAAGAGGAGGGGGAAGGGGAGGCGGAGGAGAAGGTTGAGGAGGATGCGAAGGAGGGGGCGGATGGGGAGGGAGATGACGAGGCCGACGGGGAGACGGATGGGGAGGGCACGAAGGCGGATGGCGAGGCTGCCAGGGGGGTATAGCGGCGAGGGGTGTGAGTTGGGGGAGACGCAGGGAGGACGATGGGAGGCGATGGTGAGGATGGGGGAAGGGGGCGATGATGGGAAGGAGGGACCGTACGGATAATGAAGAAACTGACGGGGGAAGGGGAATGATGACGATGCTGGTGATGATGGTGATGTGGTGGTGATGACTAGTATTATGTTGATGCGGCAGATGTTGCTGCTGGTACTGATACGGATGATGATGCTGCTGTTGTTGATGATGATGCTGATGATGATGATGATGCGACTGATGATGCTGATGATGCTGATGGTCACGCTGACGGTGATTACGGTGGTGATGATGATGATGATGATCGTGATGTAAGTGTTGTTGATGGTGGTTATGATGGTGATGTTGAGTCTGGTGTTGATGATGTTGTGCTGGATTATGATGCTGATGCTGTTGACGATGTTGTTGATGATGATACTGATGAGGATGGTAACGATGACGATGATGATGATGATGATGATGATGATGATGATGATGGTGTTGATGACGATGGTGATGATGCTGATGATGATGATGATGACGCTGATGCTGATGCTGATGCGGCTGATGATGGTGTTGCTGGTGATGGTGATGGTGGTGGTATCCATCACCATCAACATCGCATGTCGGAGGGCACGGGGCCGACGAATGGTGGGAGATGGGATGGGGGCACGTGACCCCGCACTCCAGGTGGAGGTGCTGCTGCGCCACATCCCCAACGCCGAGGCCAACTGGACGGAGGTGCGCGACGCGTGCGTCGACGTCTTGACTGCGTATCCCAAGGAGGGGGCGCGATGATGGGTTGGCTTGGAGGAGGAGGGTGAGAAGGCGGATGTGGGGTGAAGAGGGGGGGAAGGCCAGGAGAAGGAGGAGGAGAACGATGATGATAAGAAGGGGGAGGCGGATATGGGTGGAGGAGGTTGAGGCGGGGGAGGGGGAGGGGAGGGGGGGGCTGAGGGGTGTGGGTGGAGGGTAAAACGGGGCATGCCAGAGACTGGGGCAGGAGGGTGCTGGCCCGTCCCCCTCCCACTGGTACCATCCCCCTCAGTGTTCAGCCAAACCACCTCGTTGGCTTCCACCTCCTCCTGTCAGCGTGTCCCCCCCCCGCCCCGCTCGTTCCCCATCCCGCCCGTCAGCCCCCCCCCCTCGCACAGGTACCCCAGGGCCTCCCAAGAACCAGCTGGTTCTCCTGCTGCCCGCGGAGGAAGTCTAGCAGATAAATTAGTATGTATGATGAAGCACTTCCGCAGAGTACGTGACAATGCTGTTCGTCGGCGACAGGCGTCGACTCGTCAAGAGACGGGGAAGGAAGTGCCGTGGTCGAGCGCATCGGGGGCGGGCACGATGGTGCGCTGACATTGGACTGACGTCGGGTCTGACATCGGCCGACGTCAACTCTGACGTCCGAGGGTCCGACGTCAGATCTGACGTCGGTCTGACGTCAGATCTGACGTCGACCCGACCTCAGGCATGACGTCAGATCTGACGTCAGACCTGACGTCAGACCTGACGTCACCACTGACGTCAGATCTGACGTCAGATCATCGTGCCAACATTCCCCATTGCGTTCGACCGCGGCATGTCCGCGTCCTTCACCTGGCTGCCCATAGGCCCTCCAGCAATGCACCGAGCCCCAGAAAGACACCATGTGGTATTTGTTGCACCTGATGGGGGTGACCCGCGAGGACACGCCGCCCAGGACAATCGGTCTCTGAAGCATGAATATGTTTAACGGGGGAGAAAGATGCATAGCACGAGCAGTGAAGAAGAACATGCGGAGGAGAAGGAGGAGGAGGCGGAGGAGGAGGGCGGAATGAGGGGGAGAGGGGAGGACGTATATGGAGAGTGAAGAGGGATGAGACGAATGAGGGGAGGCACAGCGGGAGGAGATGACGGGTGAGGAAGGAGGGAGGGAGGAGGCGGAGGAGGAGAATGCGGAGGAGGAGGAGGAGGAGTAGCAGCAGGAGGAGGAGGAGGAGGAAGAGGATGATGAGGAAGCGGGAGGGCGGAGGAACGACGGTGATGATGTTTGTCGCTCCCCCCCCCCCTGCGCTTCATAGGAGGCGCTATCCGCCAGAGGCGCGCGGGCGCGCCTCTGGCGGCGCATACTACCCCGACGACGTCGCCCAGGTGGTCACGATGGTCCCCGTGGATGATGGCGGTGCTGCTTCAGAGCCAGGCGATACTGGAGGAGGAGGAGGAGGAAGAGGAGGAGAAGGAGCAGGAGCAGGAGTAGGAGCAGCAGGGTGAGGCGGTAGAGGGGCAGAAATGGGCCGAATAGAAGGAGGCGGATGGAGGGGGGCTCGATCAGGAGGAGAAGGAGAAAGCTGAGGGGAATGGCATGCAACGAAAAGAATGGCCTGGAGGATGGAGAACGGGACGGGGCATTGTAACGGGATACGGAACAAGGGCGAGCGAACGCGGAAAGATGAATGAAGGATGGAGGGTGACGTGCGCTAAGGAAGACGGAAGGGGAGATGCGAATGGAAAAACATGGAGGGCGATGGGGTGAGTGGGAACAACGGTAAAACCTGGTTAGATATGATTGGTGGCGAGGATGGCGACGATGATGGTGATCGCGACGACGAGGTCGGTGACTAGGACGACGGAGTGCGGCGATGACGATGATGAGCCTGGTAATGATGATGGTGATGATATTGATCCTGATGATGATGGTGCTGCGGATGGTGATGGGGATACTAGTGTTGATGATGGTGATGGTGGTAATGATATTGTTGTTGGTGATGTTGACGCTGCTGACGATGGTGATGGTGATGATAGTGATGATGCTGATGATGATGCTGCTGATGATGCTGATGATGCTGATGCTGATGATGCTGATGATGCTGATGATGTTGGTGATGATGATGATGATGGTGATGACGACGATGGTGGTGCGGCTGATGGTGATTGTAACTATGATGCCTATCATGGTAACTGTACTGGTGATGGCGGCGCTGGTGATGATGACGGCGGTGATGACACACGTGTGGCGATGCCGAGGGCGATGGTGGTCGTGGTGTTGGTGATGAGGGTGGTGGCAAGCCTGGTGCTGACAATGATGAGAACGACGCGGGAGGACAGGGGACGGGGCGAAGAGGGGGAATAAACTTGCGAACGAGCGGGGGACACCCGCCGACAGGCACGCTCGACGACCACGACGACGTCGCGGGCACCATCACCGACGGCGACGCCGACACGGGCAACACCGACGACCACGACCTCAGCCCTGCTGAGTTGAAGGACTCGTTGCCGCTTGGGCGCGGGGCCCCCTGCTGTTCACCCAGCCTCATGCCTCGCCCCTGCTTAGTGTCTTCCCATGCAGTTCCCTTCCTCCCTTATCTCGCCTGTCCCACCACACCCCTCCCTGTGCACCTCCCCGTACCCCCTCCCGCAACTCGCCCCTTCGCTCATCGTCCCCTCTCGCCCTCCCCGTCCGCCTTACTTCCCCAGCAGCCTCTACCGAGTGCACGTCATCATCGCCGCCCTTCCAGCAGCTGCACGGATGGAAAGGGAAGCTCGTAGCGTTTCAAAATGGGCTCTCGCTCGACGCGCAAATGTATTGACCAGAAGAAATCAGCACACGGTCCCCCAACCGTGACCATGACCCCCATCGCTGGCGCAGTCAGCACAGCCACACTGATCAAACTAACCAGCCTAGTCACCAACATCAACACCATAACACATCGCCATAACGTCAAATCACATCACCGAAACCACCATGCACCTCACCGCAACCACCATCATCGCCGCAAGCATCACTACATCAATCACCATACTCCAGATTTCGCAATAAAGGGAGGGGGGTCTCATTTCGGGGGGGGTCTCTTCCAGGCTATCTTAGAGGGCCTGGGGGGTCTGGGGACGATGTTTGGGAGGGTTCTCCCACGGGGGAGGTCTGAACTGGCTTGGCTTGGAGGGTCCAGAACCCCTCCCTTTTATTACGAAACCTGGAGTAACTAGAACGCGCCGTAATCATCGTCGATCAGTTGCCATTTGGTGCATGCAATTTTAGCGAGCTCGTGGAGCGTAGTGCCTTCACGGGATGGTGGCTCGTCCTTGCGCGTCTCGCTCCCCGTCTTCGCCGCCGGCGGCCATGGCTGGGCCATCTGGGCAGGAGCGCCGCCGCAGACACAAGTCCGTGCCCGCGCTCGCCCCGCCGATCAGCGCGGCCTCGCGCTGGGGGGCAGACCCCAGTGAGCCTCGCAACACCGATGCGCGCGAGGGCGGGCCCGAGGTATCGGAGTTCCAGCAGGCAATGAGGACGTCGCCATCGGAGGGGCATCGCCGCCTTGAGCGCGGGCGGAGCTTCGCGGCGCCCAATGACAGACCCGACACCCGCGCAGAGGCGATTGCTGCCGCTGTGGCGCATGGTGAACGCATGAAGGAGGTTGATCGCCAGATTGCAGAGGATGAAGCGGTCCTGATGGCCGAGGTGCTGCCAGATGACCGCGAGGTGCTGCCAGATGACCGCGACTGGCAGCATCTGGCAGCAGATGAGGAGGATTCAGGTGGAAAGTCCGAGCCCGCGGTGGAAGCTCTCGTCGAGGTCGTCGCGTCGGAGAGCGCTTCCGATACGGGCGCCGCCCAGGGCATCTCCGACGGGCAGCAGATCGTCTACGTGGCGGGGGGCAGCTCCGACGGGCAGCAGAGCGCCCATGAGGCCGTCGCCCTGTCGCCGACCAGCGCCCCCCACTTGCGCATCATGGCGAGGCCAAAGCGTGCGGCTTCAATGCCATCAATGCCGAACGAAACGCCTCCTTCCAAGAGGGCAAGGGTCGGGATGAAGACGGCCGCCGAGCAATGCAGTCCGATCTACACGCCGACGCCGCCGTCCGACTACGACGCCTCGATGGTGCACCCGCTGAAGGTTGTGGTTTTGCGTGTCGGTGGCTGCCTTCATCTGGGCGGGGTTGGGGCGTCATAGAGAGCTTCGGAGTAACGGGGCGATAGGTTAGGCTAGGATTGACGTGATGGGGCGGTCGGAAAGTGCACCCCGCACCCCTTGACTCGTCCGATGCTCTCCATGACACCTCGGCCCCACCCAGATGGAGGCAGCCACCGACGCGCGACAGCTGCAGGTTGCGTCTCCGCCACCCGAGTCGAAAGAGGAGGTGGTGATACCCCCCGTGGACGTCGTGCGCGACACCTCGCTCCGCCCATCGTGGTCGTCAGATTCCGTCGACTCGGGCGCGCCGACGCTTCGCCCGGCGAGCTACGACAACATGGAGGACAGCCCACCACAGGACGAGCCGCCCATGAGCGACGACCTGCTGCTGCAGCTCGCGGCCTGGATGAAGGACGGCGGTGCTGGGGACTGAGCACCGACACACGTACTGGGACTACTACAAGGACCGCGCGAACGTCACGGGTGCATGATGCTGATCTTGCACGATTTGCGTAGGGTTTACTTGCATTTCGGTCTGCGTGTCAGATGCTTGCTCGCGTTCGAGATTTACGTTACAGAACCCACCATCGATGGCTGTTTGGGGTAGCCAAACCAACCTGCAATCGTAATCACCATCGTTACCAACATCGTGACCATCGCCAAAACGCATGGTCGTTACCATCACCAGCATCACCATCACGCCCACCGTCATCAGCACCGTCGTCATCATCATCGTCATCATCATAATCAGCAACACCACCACCATCACCAGCAGCCGCACCAACACCATCGTAGTCGTCGTTGTCATGACTCATAGCTGTCATCACCCCACGGTTAACCTCATCACCCCCGTCGGCGCCATCATCGTATTCAAAATTAGCATTACCACGATTAACCTCCTCAACCTCATGGCGACCACCATCACCATCACCCTCAACATAAAACATGCCGTCGGCACCAGCACCATTGACATCGTCGCAATTGTTAGGCCACCATCATCGCCGCACATCGCCATCGACATCCCCGCCCTCAGCATCGCAACCACCACCAGACTCGCCATCGCCATCAGCATCACCCTCCGTACCAGCATCACCACCATCAACATTACCATCAGCGTTGGACTCACATGGTTCTTGGGACAACAACGCACGGACAAGGGAATACGTACGCATGTGCTACATGACCGTAGTTTGCCTCATCCACGCCCTCCTGACAATCATGACCACATCTGTGTCTCATGCACCTTCTCGCCCACCTGGTTAGCCCCGCGGCAAGTCTTCGTGCCTGACCCCAAAGGTCTGAACCATCCCTGGGGGTGTATATCCCTGCCTCGCCTCCCTCTACCTTCTCTACCGTCCCGCTGTGCTGCCCACCTGGCCCGCGCTTCTGCTTCCGAACATCCATGTAGCCGCCCTTGCCTCGGTGCCCACTTTCCCCGCGGCCAGGGGCTCTCCAAATGGCTGAAGGGCTGGCCCGACGAGCACACGGTCGACCTAGGTGCTGCAGCCGAGTCCGAGGATGACGCGTTCATCTTGGCGTCGGCCATGAAGGCCGAGGCCGTGCCAGCCAAGAAGAGGAAGCTGAAGGCAGGATTGGGTCGTGGTGATGAGGGGGGGGACGGATAGGAAGACTAATGACGATGCTGTGGACGAGGGTGTGGATGAGCGGGGGTGGAGGTGGAGGGGGCAGGGGTCACGGTGGCAGACAAGGTGGAGGCGGAGCGATGCCGAAGCGGAGGGACAGAGGAAATGCAAGAAACAGAGGAGCCCACATCAAACGGCCAACCTGACTATATCCCCGTCCCTCCTTTTGCCCATGCCCCATATATATATATATCGAGAGAGAGAGAGAGAGATGTGCATATGTCCACCTCTGGCAATGCCGAACGCCGCGACCAACACAATCGAGAAACATTGTTGACGCCTCGCAAATGCCCACCAGCCCATCCAGAAACGATGCCCAGAGGAATTGCCTCGATCAGGGAAGTGGACATCACGCAGAGGAAGCCATTCTGAGAGATCTTGGGATAGGTTGAGCCATCTTGGGGGTCATCTTGAGCTCTCCCAGGCGCTCTTGGAGTCACCTCAATCAGTGCCCCCCTCAAGAGGCCAAGATGTGGCGAACACCTCAGTGAAACCAATGCTTTGGCATTCTCGCCGAGGCATCTTGGAGCATCGTGGGCGCCTCTGGGTGGTCGTTGGGGGCCTCCTGGGGGTCTATTGGGGGCCTCGTGCGGGCATCATGGGGGCCCCTTGGGGCATCCTGGCCACCTCTTGGGGCCCTCTGGCACCCTTGGGGGCATGGGGGGGGGGCATCTTTGGGCCATCGTGGGTGAGATCGATCACAGGAGGGGGAAGTTATTAATTGCAGCCCCCCCAAGAGGCCAACATGAGGCCAACACCTTAGTAAACAAACAATGAGGTTGGCTTCCTCGCCGAGGCCGTTTTGGAAACTCCGACGACTCGCGACCCCCCCCCCGTCCAGGTCCAGGGGAGGGGGTGGGGCAAGCTAGGTGCGCTCGCGCCATATCTGACATTCTACCCCTCCCTCCCATCCTGGGCCTGGACGGGGGGGGTAGGGGGAGGGGTAAACCCCTCCCCGAAGGGGGGAAAGAGGGGTGGCAGAGGAAACGCTCTAAACCACCGACGCCCAGAGGGCTGGTGGGACTAGATCCGCTCTGTGAGCTCCAAACTCTGCCACGGTTTGAACGTCGTCCGAAGGCGGAGGTGAAGGAGAAGCGGGCCCACGGCACGGACGCCAGCAAGGACGCGAGCAAGGGCAAGAACACGACCCAGAGCAAGGCCGAGGGCGGCAAGGTCAAGAACACCATCGCCGACCTCAAGAACCTGCCGCGCACAGGGAACCACCCTGTGCTCGGCAAGCTCAACGTGTGCTACGGCACGAGTGCCTCGTACGTCACGTACAAGGACGAGGGGGGCAAGCCGCGACTTCTGGTCCAGGTCGGCTCCTCGATGTGCGCCAAGCACGCCGAGATGTTGGCCAAACTTCTGCAGCACGCATGTCGGTCGGGCTGCTCGAAAGAGGAGCTCGTCTCGTATCGTGGCACACTTCTCGCGAAGTAGCACGCGCGTGCCGAGAGGGGCGGCAATACTGACCAGGAGGAAGAGGAGGGACAAGGACGATGAGGGAGAGGAGGATGCCGACCACCCTCGGCACGCGACACGCCAGCGTTGAGATGCGCGCTGCGATTCTCACAGGAGGGGGGGGGGGGTCGAAGAGGGGATCGGGGAGGAGGCGGCGACCACGCGGTATTCGCAGCAGGCCAGGGAGCGCCTGCTGCCGCCGCGCATCGCGTGCAGGGGCAGGAAACCCGACACTGTCGGGGTATGTGCTGCGCTTCCAATGCTCGCCGTGCGTTGAGTTTCGAACGCAGTTGAACGGAGCTTCCAGCGGTCCGTGCGCTGAGCTCCCACTGGTCGCCCGACCCTCAAACATCTTCACCTCCTCCTCATGGTCGCACCCCCGTCCTAGAGTGTCGCATGGCTTCGCGGATGGATACCTCGCCCTAACCACGGGTGTAGGTGCTGGTTGAGTCGATAACAAGCGTGGTTATCGGCATGTTAATAGCTGACGCCACGCGCATCACCACCAGCCCATCCAGAAACGATGCCCAGGAGAGTTAGGGTGATCAAGTAAGGGGGCCGTGCATAAGAACAACAGGCGGGGGTGAACCGTCCGAGGCGAGGGGAGGGGGAGGAGGAATGAGAATGATGAGGAGGAGGCGGAGGAACAGGAGGAAGGTGAGAACGATGGAACGAAAGAATGAGAACATGATGGAACGTGAGGAAGGAGGGGGGATGAAGAGTAGGAGGGGGGGATGAGGAGGAGGAAAGGGAGGGGGAAGACCACGATACATACTATGCAGAAAAAGGAGGGGGGAATCGGAAAAAGGTGCCAAACCTAAGAACAGCATCGGGCATGTCTTGTACGTGTTTATGGGCGCCTCTGGGAAAATTTGGGGGACGGGGGGGAGCATCTCGGGTGCCTGGGGTGGCCCATTGCAGCCTCGTGGTGACCCCTTGGGGGCGTCTTCGAGGCAGCTTGGGCGCCTCGTGGGGCCGTCTGGACAACTATTGGGGCCCTCTTGGGACACGCGTGGGTGCCATGGGACGCTCGTCGGGCCATCTTGGAGGGCATCGATCAAACACGAGATCCATGCTTACCCTCGCCGTTCTAGGGTGCCGAGCATCGCCTCTTGGGCCATTCTTGGTGAGTTCTTGAAGCACACGTGGACGCCCTTGGTGCTGATGTGGGCCTCTCTGGGGCCCGCGTGAGCCCTCGCGAAGCCATCGTGAGGCCTCGGAGGGCCGTCGGAAGCGACTATGCGAGATAGTCGCACACGTTGTTTCCCCTTAGGTGTTGGAAACGTGCTTGCCTATTCACGGCCTCATTGGGGAGCTCGTTGGCCAGTTGGAGCCGTCTTGGGGCTGTATTGGAGCTTATGTTGTACCATCGTGGGGGCCATCTTGGCCACCGTGGGGTATCGTGAATCATATTTGGGCTCATCTTGGGCTCTGCGAGGTGCTCTCGGAGCCATATTGTGCCCGATTGTACGCTCCAACCCCTCCCCCCTGCCCGCCATGCACGTCCGCGGGATGGGCATGGGGGGGAACACACCCCTCCCCGAAGGGGAACATGGGGCAGACTGATGACGCGACACGCTGGATCACACACGCACGCCATAAAAGGGCTGTTGGGATTCACATGGTAGTGTATACGACTGGTCAAGTTGGTAGTGACCGAACAGAGCTTCGACATCCCACGCGTGATGTGTAGGCGTGTATGTGGGGTCACGAACAATTCTCGACCCTCCCCGACCCCCGCCCCACCCGTTTACGCTAGATGTCGCTAACTGACGTGGCGGTCAGCGGAGGGGGAGGGGGAGGACGCGGAGGTGGAGGATGAGGGGGAGGAGGAGGGGGATGAGGAGGAGGAGGAGGAGGAGGAGGAGGAGGATGAGGAAGATGATGGGGAGCATGGGGGTGAGGATGAAGGAGGATCCTGTCTGAAGGTGCGGTTGCGGCTCGGCCGCCACGCCCCCCTCGTCCTCCTCCTCGCCGTCTCATTCCCACGTCGAGCGGCCCCTTGCTTCCAGGCCGCCGATCGTGCCGAGCGATGAGGGGGGTGTGCGGATGAGGAGGGTGAAGAGGGGGGCGCTAGAGGAGGAAGAGGGTGAGGAACAGGAGAAATGCCGATGGAGGATGTTGGCGATGCAAGGTGGAGGCGCGGGCGGAAGATGGGACAGTAGGGTGGCGAGAGAATGGCCGATGGCTGGCGCGTGGATGGGGAACGGATAGCTAGACGGAGTAGTCATAGAGGAAGGGTGGAGGCGAGATGGGGGGTGGTCATTGAGGGGAGAGGGAAGGCGGGCATGGAGGGATCGAGAGCGACAGGGGCCGGATGTGCGAGCGC